ATTTGATACAGAACGGTAGCATGCATCTGTTGAGAACAATGGCCTGGCACAGTTGGGAAAAAGTACAAAATTTTAATGTTTGTAAAATGAGAGACAAAGTTACCTCTGCTTCAGGCCTCGCTAGGGCTTTTAGTCATTCTTTATAGCTCAGGTGCCACTACTGGGTTTAAGAGGGTCAGTCACAGAGTGCACGTGTAACGATAACACGCAAAGCTCACGGGGAATAAGCGAGGGTGTTTTAAACTCAGGCTTGGCTGGGGTTTTGGAAGTTGCCGTGGGAGTACGAAATCGGCAGTGCTGCTCGAGGAGGTAGCAGGGTGGCTGCTGGAGTCCTCTCTCTCTCCCCCAAGATTTTGTAGAACTCAGAGAATGATCTCGCAAAGCAAAGATTTTTGAATTTTGACTTCAGGCGTTTAAGATTCACTTTTCGCCGAGGAGCATCTCACGTATTCTGTGGTTTAATAGATCCCGCTCAGGGCGGGAGGCAGCTGCTCGCACGGCAAGTCCCCCGGCTCTCAATGCACAGCAAATGCTGCCCCTGGTGTTCCAGAGAGGGAAATACCCTAAAATCCGTCCCTCGGCTTCTCAAGTTTTGTCCAGAAGACCCTGGCGAGTGTTACCAGCCCCCGGACTCCGCCATCGGTTTTGGTTTGGCCAGTTGTCAGTTTTCCTAAAAGCACTCGGTTCTCAGCAGCATCCTAACATCGCTCGCAATGGGTGTCATAGGCGTTCTGACAAACACACGCATGAGAAAACATTAACGTAACAGGTCCTGAATAATTACTTCTTTTTTTCCTTCCGTCTACATTAATTTGTGACCTTTTGACATGATACTGGAAGCTCACATGCGCTGTCACACTTGAGCATTTTTCCTGTGCGAATTCACTACTGCTGTCAAATCTCCAAGTTCCCTAAGTCGGCAGCTCCCTCCCCATCAGCAAAGCACGCACTGGTGCTGGGTTCACGGCCAGGAATTCTCACTGTAGATATCCCGTTGTGCTAATAACTTTCCACAAAAATGGAGCAAAAAGACTGCGCTGAACCTACGTCGCTTAAAAACTCGCGTACGTGCTTAAATCTAGGCGCATACCTCATTCATCTGTGTTTAGAAATCACGTATCAAATTACTTCAGAGTTACATTAACTCCACCAGCCCGGCACATGCTTAATACCAATCCTGTGGACGGTTTTGCAAACTCGAGCTTTGACTTTTCAGCCATTTCCATGATTTGCTTTTCCACGGGGGTTCTTAGCCACCTCGAATGACCGTAGTTGTACGCACACGTATCTCCTGGCCTATCCCCAGCCAGGCAGGCTCAGGTACCATGCCACTCACCGGGTAAATTGTTTAACTTTGGAGCAGAGCCTGCCTGCACCCGAGTCACTTTTCTTGTCCTTAAATGTTGGGCACAAGGTGCACACAATTACCGCTCTGTTTAAGCTGTAAAATAAGCCATCATGAAAACACCCCAGTTTCTTAATTAAGAATATAATCCCCAGAGCAATCTAAAGAAGTTGCGTCTACATCTTATTTAATAAACAACAGGAGAAAAAAACCCCAAACGAAACAACCTCATGCCATCACTTATTACCTAGAAAAACAGCAAAATTCACGTCAACTATTCAGGGAAGCAGAGCCACTGAGGGGGTTATCATCAGGTTCTTTCCATACCGTTTCACATATTTTTCATCTTATTCCTTGGCTGGTAGATCATGGTTTCTCACATTTTTTTTTCTCACCTCTAAATTCAGATTAGAGATTGGTATTTCTTATTTCTTAAAGCAGAATCAGCAAGTCAGCTTTATAAAGCCTATTTTGTGTGTGCTGGATATTTCTCTTGGAGTGGTATTGTATTTACACATGTTTACCTAACACACCCACTCTGTTTATCCAGACAGACTTAAAGAAGGATAAAACTAGGAGTCTTTATTTATCCAAATAAAAGTAAACCAGAGGAGTTAAGCATGGGAATTGCCTGTAATTGCCCGCTGAGCTGCTAGAAATAGCTGCTTTTTGGAAAGAGGAGAAGGCTTCACTGTCGAAAAAAATGATGGTAAGGGCTATCTACTATTAGCAAAGTTTACCGTCCTGTTTGATCCATAAATTACTTTCTTTTCAAAAACTGAGGGACACAGGGAGAAAAAACACACTTCTTTTCATACTTCACTGCAAGAACTGGACATAGAACATAGACCGAAAAGGGCCTTCTCTCCCAGAAGTGCCGCACATCAGTGAGCCCGATCCCATGCACAAATAACTCGTGTGAGCCCTATCGTTATCGCAGTCGCCAGTTACAGAGCTTACGCTAGAGCAGATTATCGAAACATTACAGGAACTAAAGTAATTTCCAGGTATGATCATTAATCACCCGCGCCAAGTCTAACCACATACAGAGCTCTCTTCATTGTTCCGTTAAGACAGGTACTTCATCTTAATTAGAGCTATTACTTCAAAAATTAACACTGAAGACAATTAAAAATGTCCTCCCAGGACAAACATTACATTCTCTCCCCCCCTAACTCCACTCAAATTCTCTAACGTTGAAAAGGAAGTATGAAAGTCTGGTCAGATTTCTGACTTCTCTCATCGTTAGATATTTGCACAATTTTTTTCTGCTAGAAATATTCTTACGGAGCATTTCTATATATAGCAAGTCCCAGGGGGTAAGAGCCCTCTTTGTACTTCACGCTGTGCAAGTACTAGCGTTCACAGCCTGTCCTGGAAAATGTGATCTACATTTTTACATATTTGGCTCTTCTGAACAATCTTTTCGTTTCCTGCAGGGAAGACAAATGTAAACACGGCGTGGCGTGGCGATACTTCACGTTCTCTGTCTTGTAGGAACTCTTCAGGTAGAACAACAGCCACAAAAACATTGTCACTTCCTCCGATCTCAGCAAGGGGAATCTCACAGTTTAAGAGGGGCTGCACACTCACAAACGTTCTGTCAGCCCCTGCCAAACCAAATCAAATACCAGTTTCCTACCGAAACAGAAAGCAGTGATGTCAATTCTAGGCATCTTCTTAGTCCAACTGATGATGTCACAGACAAGGTCAGTAAACCTAGGGAGGCACTTTCTTCCAAGAGACTCTAACAGGACATTTTTGTATCCCTGTTAGAGATGGAAAAAAAACACAGATCTGGAAAAAAATGCCTGCAGGAACACGGAAGAAGTAGATAGCTCACACTTTTTCAGTGAACGAAGCAGAGGTGAGAAACATGATCTGGGGTATGATAAATATCAAAAAATGAGTAAAATTAATCACTGGAACGATGTGCCAGTTTTCATTTTCGATCAAAATGTATGCATTCTTGAAATATGACCAGTAATCAGCAAGCCAAAATTTCCCAAACTTAACTTGGTAGCAAATTGTTTAAATGTGGCAAAATGAGAATTCGCCCATTCATTTTGATGGCAAAATCCTTAAATAAAAATCATACAGCCTCGAGAGTTTTCAGAATATTCAGAAGGTAGTAGAAGTTAAGCCCCGTCAGGAAGGCTCTGAGAGGGCATACTCCACTACGTGGTAACAAAACTCAGTTCGGAACAGTTGTACCTTCGTAAGAATAAAGTTACACCACATAAATGTTATTTTATTACTCTAGAGAAGCCAACAAAAGCGTACAGAGATTGTGTTAACAGGAGGAAGTGGGGCATCGAGGGGCATTACTTTTCCTGCAAGGGATATATTTGAGATGGATTCCTGAGTACTTTTAAGTTGACGGATGTGTTCCCACCAATATTCCCAGAACGGGGATGAAGAAGGAAAAAGAAGAGAGATTTCCTTCAGCTTTGGTAACCAGGGAGATAGGTGTAAGATATATCAAATCTCAGAATATATACATATCTAACTCACAGTTAAGGTATGGAAATAGTATCTTCAACATAAGTTTACTTGAGAGTAAGTCTCAATCTGTTTACTGGGATTTTTCATCTTGGTTTGTAAATCTCCTTGTATGTGGTACAAGGGAGAGCTGATGGTATCAGCTCACTCCAATAGCATATAAACCATTGCTGAATTTCAACCCCTTAAAATATAAAAGCAGTTCATTTCTTACAATGAATGCTGGAAAAAGGGTGCTGACAAATCCATGCTAGAGTTCCTGTGGAAAAAAAGCCAACAGATGTCCGCCGTTAAGCGACACCCCTGGCAGCAGTCGCAAAGCCTATCAGCAGATCTGTTACCAGCAGAGTGGCATAATGGATGCAGGAATTTCTTATGGACAAATCCATGAGAAATTAGGTTTCAATAGTTCTGCTTCTGAGAGAGCAACTTGTTAAAAGAATATAGAGTGTTAACAGTATCTCCCCTTTCACTATGTTGCTCATCCACGAAAGACTGATAGAAGAGTATGCGCATGCAGCAGGATGCAGGGACAGTTCCTAGCTGGATTCAAAACCCTGCGCCCTGCATCTTATCTTAGGCTACATCCAATTAATTTTATATGCAGCACAAAGTACAGGGACAGCATCATAGAATGGTTTGGGTTGGAAGAGACCTTCAAAGGCCACCATGGCCAGGGTCACCTTCCACTAGATCAGGTTGCACAGAGCCCCATCCAACCTGGCCTTGAACACTTCCAGGGATGGGGCATCTACCACCTCTCTGGGCAACCTGTTCCAGTGTCTCACCACCTTCATAAATCTCTTCCTTATGTCCATCTGTATCTTCCCTCTTTCAGTTTAAAACCCTTGCCCCTTCCCCTGTCACTACAGGTCTTGGTAAAAAAGTCTCTCTCCAGCTTTCTTGTCAGTCCCCTTTAAGTATTGAAAGGCCACAATCGGGTCTCCCCGCAGCCTTCTCCTTCTCCAGGCTGAACAAGCCCAACTCTCGCAGCCTTTCCCCACAGGAGAGGTGCTCCAGCCCTCAGGTCACTCTCATGGCCCTCCTCTGAACCCGCTCCAACAGGTCCACATCTCCTGTGCTGGGGACCCTAGAGCTGGACACAGTGCTCCAGGTGAGGTCTCACCAGAGCAGAGGGGCAGAATCACCTCCCTCGACCTGCTGGCCACACTTCTCCTGATGCAGCCCAGGGTACGGTTGGCCTTCTGGGCTGCCAGCGCACATTGACAGCTCACGTCCCATTTTCCAGAATGGATGACACAGTACTTAACCCTTCCCAACTCCTCAAAAATTCACTCCCCTGACCCCAAAGAACTCTTATTTTGGGCTTCATGTAATTCAGGTAAGCCATGCATCATGATTCTGAGTAACTCCTACTTTCTGTTAGTTAAACTGGAAGCATTCTTGCTTATCTTGCATGGCCACATTAATCCATTCTCTTAATTTTTTAGTTACTGCAAGTTGTTGCCATTATGTTTGCACAACGTAATTGGATGTTTAAAATCTTGGTAAATTGCCCCAGCTGCTTATCAGCGACAGCACTGTGGGCCCAAACGTTCACAGAGATGGCTAAGCCAGACTCAGTCTGTATGACGCCTATGACGTGACTCATCACCTACTCTCTAAGGAGAGGAATGATTACTGTGCTGCAAAGGTAGTCAGAACTGCAGAGTATTTCCTCTGTTGCCTTGCAACAGTCTATACTGATTCCCCAGAGGGGAAATAGATCTTTGCATTTGGGTCCTGTTTCTTGTAACTATCATTCTAAATGGTTGGACTTGCTTGCATGTAACAAGCGACAAGGAAGGCAGGGTGCGAGTCATACGCTCTTGTGTAACACAGCCTTACCTTTCCAAACACGCTTACTTCAAAAGGCGTCAGCATCTCCTACCTTACCTGCGATGCAGCTCAATATAAATAGGTGGAAGTCTTATTTCACAAGTAAACAGATATTGAGATATGACCTATGCAGTAAGACTGGAAGGACTGATTTGGTAAAACTTTGGATTATTATTGGCATAGATGAGGAAAAAAAAGTCAGCACACTCTCAAACAGTAGTTTAAAGGCATGTGGATTTAAGTATAACACGGCCTAAAAGGAATCTTGAAGACCAAGCAGAGATAAAGTGCATGCAGATAAAGCAGGCCATTCAAATTTTTGCAAGATGTCTTTCAAAGAGCTATATGACCACTTAATCCATTTTCTCTTCTTGGAAACTGTCTGCATCATCCATGTAGTCCTCGAGATCATCATATCTCTGCAAATAAAATAAAATCTGTATTATTTTATCAATGTTTAATAACTGAATTACATAAAGATGGCTTTTTCTTTTTCTTCAACACATTAACAAGCATGCCAATAACAATTCAGAAGCAATGATATCTGAAAGGTTGCTAAACACAATTGTACTACAAGTTGTCTTATACTAGTTCATGAAGTGTTTCTGAATAATTCACAGTACTTCAGCGTAAACAGATGAGTAAAATATTCTTGCTGTGCCTCACGTACATGTTTCCAATCTTTCTAAGCTACAGCTTAAGTTTGTTGTGTTGCTGCTTTCAGATGAAACAGGAGCCTGCCCACCACAGCCCAGAGATCATGCAGCTGTCAAAAAGCTTAATGTCAAACACTGACACAAACTCGATGTGAACGCAGCAGCATACCGCTGTTGGAGGGACTGGGGCAGCAGAGGTGGATGAATGGTTAAGCTGAGTTATATTATTGAAGCCCAGTAATTCAAAACTGATCAATTAAATCAGACATTTTATCTCAGCTTACTTTTATCTACTTGGAAAAGGAGACATCAAATAACTCAGTTGTACCTTCTGAATCCACCCGCTGTCCTCCAACTGGCTGAAGAGCCGCTCGACTGTGTCTTTGACTGGTTCATCCTCAACACCATCCAACTCGGTAATGGAGCTGCAATCCACATACAACTTGTATTTGAAGTGCTTCAAGTTATGATAAACTCTTGTACGATTTGCACACACCATGCCAACCTTCAAAACCTAGGCCAAAGTGAACAAACCATTATCTCCGATAGAACTGTGATTATCTTGACACTCTAACGAATGGCTCAGTCCGTCTAGGGAGATTTTATCAGTTAGCCTAGGAAGATTTTTTGAATAATGAAATAAGCAGGATGACACTACATGCATAAAATCAGCGCAAACCCACGTAGTTTTCACAGCCACAGCAGAACAATGTTTTGAGCTAGCAGGCAGCCAGCAAGTCTACGCAATGGCAGCTTATCAGTACTGTTTTCTTGCAAACACAACCATGTTTATAATTGGCAGTATCTTTCCTATCTCCTGGTGGAACTTTGTTACAAAATCACTAACATTTTAGACAACCATCATATTGCAAAAGCAGAGGAAGAGGAATTAGTTGATTACTTTTGCTTATTTTTTAGTACCTGCTAGGGAGGGACATGAAATAGCATTTTGTAGACTGAATAATACGCAATATTTCTTCAAGAAATACAAATGAATACCAATAGACATATGCCGAGAAACATGTATTTAAGAAATACAGAGAGATTTGATTTCATAAAAATAAAACATGAAAACTGAGGTCTTGTACAATGCAAATCTTGATCTGCAACTGTCTGGGAGGTATAGCTAGGCCATAATGCTGTAGAAATCAAAGCCTCTGCATCTCCCCATTATCACCAGTTTTACTTCTGTGGTTTCCGTGCAGAAAAGACAGAACCGTCTTATTTAACAGTTTTCCTTACAGCAGTATTTATAGATAAACAAACGGTAAATAGGCATATAAACACATAGTCAGAGCATGGATTAGAGTAGATTCATTATCATCTATCAGCACTAACATTAAATACAGGCAAGTATTTGTACGTATCTCAGATTTTGTACAAAGATGCCAAGCGGTGAAGGTGTTGACCTGAAAATACTGAGTAATATATTGGTTGCAAGAATCTCTGGCAATCCTAAATCTTCACTAAGAGTACGAGAAATTGGAGGTGTGGGGAGGGAGAAAGAGTCAAAGTTCATCTGCATTTAAGGATGCCCTGAGTTTCACAAGAGTAAGTTTTGTGCCATTATTACACAAGAGGTGGTTCAAGTACATACAATGGCAAATCAGAAGAGGAATCGATCCCCTGCAGACGACCTGCAGGTGCACCGATTACTACACATAGAGACAAAGCCTATCAGGTAAGAAATCTACATCTGTCTGGTTTTCGGAGGTCAGGTTTTCTATACTCTAAAGCAACATAATTAATACACGTGTAAAGAAATTCAGCTCCTGATATAATTAGGATAAACTGATTCAGTTTTACTAAAAAGAAACCCCATCAACTTATGCTTCGAGGGCAGCATTGTTTTGGACTGATGTCTTGCCACACCTTTGCGAGTAATAAGCAGGTACATGGCTAAAGGTCCAAGTTCTTTGCATCAGTAATGCAAGCTGCAATTGTATTGCTATTTCAGATTACACACACGTGTATCAAAACCCAACTATGTCATATATTGCAAAATGATCTCATCTGAGCCACAAAAGTGATCCCCTTTATTGCTACCACTGGTAATAATCTGAATACTCTCTTAAATTATGAGAAGGTTAAGTTTTAATCAATGCTTACAACCCATAGTTTCAGGAAGCTTTTCTGAATGCATGACCAAATGTTTGCATCTGTGAGCAGTTCCCCAAAACACCTGACCAACTCGTACAACCTAGCACTAGCAGTATCTACTTACAATGACAGTGATGGAAAAGCATATCTATGCTTATAAAGACTATAGAAACAACATTTATATGTTTTCTTAAATATAAGAATATATTTAACTTCTTAAATATATTAACCAGCAGCTCAACTGGTATAGCAGGTGTAACATCACTGAAGTCAAAAGAGACACACTCACTTAAAAGAACTTTTGATCTGACCTATAGTAGATAGCTATTAACTGAAATTTTATCCATCTTGAGATAAAAAATTCCTATTACTATATTGCAATTATCTCCTGGTTATGTACATATATTTATAGGCAGCTCCATTTTCTACTCTGCCCAAAACTGAGGCTTGTGTTTGGTGCTACAGGTGTTTCTGAAATGCAAGACCTCCAACCAACGCATAACCTTGATTCATTCAAATTTCCAGAAGTACCATTTCTAATACTGAAACAATCAAGCACTGTGCTGCCGTGTTTCATAGAGCATTTCATAAAACTTTTCAAGTATCCCAAGCGTGAGGTGTGGCATCTGGAACATTATGTGATGTAAAATAGGAGACAGCATCTTGCATCAAACTGATGGCCCAGTTTGTCCCCTGCGACAACAGCTAGCAGAAGATATTTAGGAAATTAGTATAAGAGCATAACGAACACCAGAATGATCATAACATTACCATACAGCTTCTAGCAGTCAACAGTTAAGATAATCTGTATCATCCCAGCTATCACGTTCCATAATGTGGACAAAGCTTCCCCAAGAACCTGTCTAATCCCTTTTGGGACCCACTAACACTTTTCACTTCCAAAGTATCTTGTGGCAAAGAGTTTCATAGTTCATTTATGTGCGAGGTGTAAAGTATTTCTACACTGGGGAAATGCCAGAGGCAAATAGCTAAATATCGTATAATGCAATTATGTATTGTGTTTTTAAAGCAAGAAAGATTGTCTAAAAATACAATGCTATTTCGGAATGCAGCTTTGGAAAGAATCTCAGTACTGTACTCATTCTAATTTTTTCCTCTTGCAGTTCTCAGTGACTCTGTCCTAATGCTTAACTTATCTACTCAAGCTGGCTGTATCAGCCAAAAGTTGTGTTAAATCACTTTGTATGGAATGCAGGAGCATAGCCTGACAATAGCACAACATGTAGTGACTGAATCCATGTCCTCTAAGCATGATTATAAACGGAAGTAGAACACCAAGACCGAGAGTAGAAAACAGTTTATAGTTCAAGTGCCACAGGAGCAGAGAAGTGTGGGAGACACCTATACCTCTAAACCATTCAATTCTCCCTGACCATGGAGGAATGAGAATTGGCAGCTACTCAAAGAACAATCACTGCAAACCTAAGCAAAACTAGAACAGCTGTTTCTCTTCTCTTTCTACTGGCAAAGCAGAATACTTCAGAAATGAGAGAAAAGGAAAGTTTTATGCAGAAGAAGAGGGTTGAAGGTCTGTTTTTGTTCTCTCCACATCCACTTTTCTTGGGTATTTTCAAATAAAACTTTAGAAAATAGTCCAGCTACGTGTTTCCATTCAATCTGATCTGCCAGTGCTGAACTGCCTTCTCTTTTGGTCAATTAAGTTCTCGAAGTGCCAGTTTTATGTAGCTCTGTGTGCCTTTTTTCTTTTTTCCTTTTTTCTTTTCTCCTCAATCTGCAGGACAGGTTGATCAACGCATTGCCAGCAGAACTTCAAAGACTACTTGAGAACAGTACCTTTAGCAGTCTAAATTACAGGTTACCATAAGAACATGAATGTGGCATTACAAAGACACTATCAAAAATTACTGGAGAGTGCTCAGTAACTCTCTCTCCTGGGTCTGTTCTACATCCCCTGAGCTATACTGAGCATGCACATGGCAGGCATCTCACCAGATGCTGGGGTACACAGGGTAAAAAAAGCTCTCATTTTCTACTGTTAAGCTGAAGAGGACAAAAATGAACTAGCAAGTTAGTTCAATATTCAGTAGGATACTTCAAGTTTTTTCCAAAGTGAAAAATAGCCAATGCTTTATGTAGGACAATGTTTAGACAGCAGTGAGGGAATTGCTACTGTTACTTCCACAGTTAAGCTGGAAGTTGAGTGAAGATTGAATTCTTGTGCTAGTTCACTTATTATTTCTGGTTAGGTAAGGCACACACTTCCCATGAAAAACTGACAGTTTTTAGTCTAGTGATCTACACTTAGAGACCCTGCATATGTAAGGAAGAATAATGACTGTACGATGGACTGCTAGTATCAGTGTTAGTGTGATTGCCAAGTTTTCCTGCAAAAAAAAAAAAGGGGAAAAGCCTTGCTGGAAAAGCCTAGCTCTCTTGGCTATCATGCTCACACAGACTTATCAAACCAGAGTATTAACAACTGCTGCTCGGAAGGGTCTGTATTCTATTTAAGAAAAAATGTGGCACAGATTTTCCTAGATTCTGCATTACACACAATATGATGACAGAATGACAGTCCACTGACATCCCTCAATTCTCTAAGTTAGAATGTTTGCAAAGATCCAAACAATATAGGCTTGAGCTTCAGTAAGGTGTACTTCCAGGTTGATGAGGGCTTTGCTTCATTTTTATATAAGAAACCCTATTATATTGCATTTCAAAATATATGGTAAATACAACTTGTTCTGACACTTTTTTTTCTTTTCAGCAAATACTATGAGGAACTTCAGCTGTATTAAAAAATTCTTTTACACTCACAAAGAAAAGGAATGTACTTTCTATACCTCCTGAAAGGGAAGCAAGGCAAAACTTGGATATCAGCTTGGTTCACAACTGTAGCAAGATTTCATTCTTGACAAATCGTGTGCTTGAGTTTATCATAAGAGGCCATGAATTACATTACTTAGGAAGGTCATATGCATACCTAATCATAACAATTACTGGTAGCTGTAAATTTGAGTCCCTAAATATTAAGAACACCCAGGTTCTTAAGAGTCAAGGTCTTCAAAAGTCTCAGCTGTGAAATATAACAAAATTAACTGCTCAAGTTGTCTAAAATGACTTCCTAGTACAACATCATGTAACAACATGAAAGATGGGTTTCATTCCAAAAATGTAATTTAATCCAAAATGTCCTAGTAGAGACAACTGAGTGAGGAAAAGATGCAGATCTACCAAAATGGAAATGGTTTCTAGTTTGGACAAGCATTTCTGATAATGCAGTAATGAGAAAAAGGCTCTAACAAAATGTATTGAAGTAGTTAGGAACAAGTCTTCTCAAAAGCAGACCAGCAATTTCAAGTGTCAGTGCAACTGAGATGTCAAGAGACTTTGTCCTGAGTGCATAGCTACATGGGAAATAGCAGAAGTGAAAAAATCTGAAGAATGAAACAGTAAGTTCTGACTAGGCTGCACTTGGACTATTAGAATGACTGGCACTATTTCACTCAGTGCTCTGACCTAGAGCAAACAAGAACTGCTGGAGTGCAGATGGATGCTCCAAATGCTAGAGACATAGTAGGCACAGAATTAGCAAGCCTAGTGACCCAATGTAGAACAAACCTTACTTGCAACAAAATAGAAAACACAATCATTCAATGGAGAAGATTGTCCATTATACACAAAGTTACTTTTATAATGTTTCTGAAAGCGAATAAATGCAAGTGATCTAACTTCAGTGAAAAGGCATTCTGATATTTAGAATATATGTAAATCTGCAATTCTTGATTTAAAGCCTCAGACTCCTTACATATGGAGATAGGATCTAGTAAAGATTAAAAAAAAAAAAAAAAAAGTCATAGTATTTCTCAGGTACTTGGTGAAAACCAAGAAAGCCAGGCATGTTCAGAGCATCACTCAGTTGTGTAATTTCTTTACCACTGGTTTTCCTTTCTTTAAGATACGCATCCCCTTTAGGATTTTCAATCTTCTATTAAGCATTCTCTGACAAAACAAAAAACTACTTTAGAAATAACTGATTGAGTGCTTGTACTAGAACTTTGGTTAGCATGTCACTCTTCACACGTGCTGTCAGCCTCTTTGACACACAGTTTCAGACTGCCTCCACATGCAATACAAAAGACAAGCATGCTGAGCAGGATGTGTAGGATGCCATGTACCTAAAGTTTCCTTCTTCCCCTGGGCGAGACTCAGACTGTAGAGATTTGAAGCAGAGGAAAAACTGAGGCAAATGTCAATTTTGACTTGAAGGCAAGAGTTATCAATAAACCCTATTGTATCTCTTAGAGCCCTTTATCATTTTCATAATAAAGTCCAGCTCATGGCTGGGTATACTCACTAGCGCTTACTGCAGTGTGAGTACATGTGCTGCATCGGGTACTGATATTAAGTGGCAAAAGTGGGGAGGAAACAGCACACTGATCGTTGTGATGCAGGCAAAAATAAAGGTCATAGAAAAACCACCAGATTTATTTTCTTGACAAAAGCTACGTCTATTTGAGGATACTTTCATTACCTCTTCCCCAAGACAGAAAAGGATGGGGGGAGGGGGGAACAAGGAGAATGCCTCTATTCATCCTCTTAAGTTTCACAGGAACTTCCTTCATAATTTCTAGCTAAATGCAAGACTATGCTCCTCAAACTGCAAAATGGTCCTCGTATTTTAAAAATTAATAGGGTTTAGACATGGAAGTACAGTAGCTCAACTCTTGCCTCTAGCATTATACACATTAGATGTGTTGATAGGATTTCTAGTCTTTGTATGATTTTCTGTAACACTAGACAAAGCTTAAAAATAATTATATAACGTGCTTGTTTGAACTTACCTGCTTATCGTCTGACATGAAGTCATCCACTTCCAAAGTTCTATTATTATAAAGCTTTCCAGAGAGCAGCACATGAAACTTACAATACCGATTCAATTCACAGGCCTGACAAGCCATATTTTTTGGATTTTTCAAGATTATGCGAACATCTGGGTAACAATCCACACGCTCCTAAAAAACAGATTTCAAATAACATTAATCTCCGTAAACTGAAAGATGCCTCAAATAGGCCGCCGAGTACTCTGTACTCACACAAAACTGGTGCAAGAGAAACCAGATTTGAATCTCTTTGGTCTTTCACCATTCAGTTGCGAACATCTACCATCTCAATCATTTTCCAACACTTCACTCAGTTCTAGTTCTTAATTCTTTCTTTCAGCTTCAGACCTAAAGAACAACTCCTGCATCCTGGCACTTATTTTTCCTCTCATCTCTTTTTTCCTCTTTGCACCCCTTTGCGGTGGGGGTGCAACTAAATCAGTGGGTCTACTTCAAAGAAATATGCTGCATCTCTCCAATGGCCATACTCCTTTATGACAGCGACGATCAGATCACCACACCTATCACACTAATACTATTCTAGTAATTCACACACAGTAACTAGGTTACTGAATATCAACTTCATTTTAAGTAGTAGAAGGTTCATTACGAACATACTGGTTTATCTTTTTGTGGGAGGAGGAAGAAATTTTGTTATAACGTTTAGCAAGTCACAAAAAGTCCTGAAAAAGTCATCTGCTGAAGTAAGCAGGAGAAGCATTCAGAGAACTGAGAATAGATTCTGTTCTGTTACCTGAATGTTCATCTGGTTATAAACACACAAAATATATCAAAACAAGTTACATAAGGTAAAGAACAATATTTTTTCTCTTAAAAAGCATATATAATCATAGTGATTATTGTACCTTTACTGAGAATTACAGTGTATAAAAAAAATAAAAATCTGTCAGTAATAATATGACTTGGACCCCACTTCACTATTTAAAGTAGAAGCTACATACCTTGTATCGATCTTTCCAGCGACTTCTAGAGATTAAGTTCTCAAGACGAGGCTGAATGAACCGGTCATCCAAATAATGAAGTGAGAGCAACATATCTTGCGCATACTTCTTTTGTCTTGTTCCATCTGTTCAGTGAGAGACATTACTAATTTGCTGACCGCCCTATGTTGTACAAGGTTCTTCAAATAAAATTTTCAAGGACATTATGCTTCTGCATACTAAGAACTATGAATGATTTTAATAAATTATTACTGAATACATTTGCTAGTGTTATCCATAAAAGTGATCCATGCATCTTTGGTAAACCAATATATTTAATTATTTTTAAAGTCTGTATCACAACAGGTACATGAAGAAACTCTACAATCAAGGTTAAAGTGGAGACCCATTCAGAATGGAAAAGGGGGAAGGGGGGGAAGTGTCTTCCTTTTTGTCCAGTTTATGTAAGCTGGTCATAATGTATAAGGGAGGAGGTTGCAATCCATGAAAACAAACTGGTCTGAGCTGCTTCACAGCAGAAATTTTGACAACTCTCTTCATCACTTATAAAGAACACATACTAACTGCCCTTTATGCTTCAGCAGCACAGTCAGATGCCTTGAGTTAAGCAGTGCAAGTACTTCCAAATACTTACTTAAGCAAAAGAAACAGAACTGAGAAGGACGACTGGCTATCTAGCTTTCTATATAAAACCAGTTAAGTATCATTATAGCCACCATAATTACAATTAATTGTTTTTTCATATACACTTTACACACACACATTTTCAGTAAGTCAGCTATACTAAAAGCTTGAAGAGGCTGTGCTACACCATAAAAAAATCCCTCACAATAAAAAGCAAGTCTGAACTCTAATACTTAAGTAGCTGCCCTTGGCTAAAACTAATTGACAGATTCACTTCCATTAACTCAGAAAAATCCACTCTGTTACAAAAATATAACTTTGTGTAGTATGAACATAGCCTAGCATTACAATGTTCTTCAGAACAATAGAGTACAACCTCCAACTCACCCTCGTAGCTGGTCTACTTCCAGTAGTTTGGCAGTAAGTTGTTAGCTTTGTAGAGCAGATACAATTTGAAACAGAAGGAAGCTATTACAACATAAAACTGGCAAAGCTTATTTATTACTTTCATAAGCTTGTTTTCACTTGCTAAAACAAAACAAAACTAACACCTGAAAGAACTAGCAGTCGTATATGAAAGATGTTTTTAGCTCCAATACATAGCCTTTATTCTGCAGTCTGTGGCGTACTTCAGTTTCTCTACTCCCTCTTAGTTCCTGATGACACCAGAACTTCCTCTCTTTGGCACTTTGCTGACTCCTTCCACAACCTGACACTGACAGTCCTCTCATTAATCCCATCTTTACAGTGCTTCTGAAACTACATGCGAGGTTGCCATTCAGCCCCAATAGGCCAAATGCCAAAAAGCATTTCCTCAGCAAGGACAAGACAAGAAGTACTACTGACTGTAGATTAAATTTAATTTGTTTTATCTGAAAGCACAAAAGTTTAAAAGGAAAAGAAAAAAAAAATCAGATATGGAGTAATCTCCATAACTAGAATTATTTATTATTTATTAAATTCCTCAGAAAAATCGATGATGCATGCAATATTTTGAGAAATCAGTTGACCTTGCAATGTTTTCATTGAGGTATCTACTTTGAAATTAATTTCACTTTCATGCTGGAACTGTTAATACTGATCAGTAACACAGAAACACTTCCCTATGGCTCAGAATGCCTTCTTGTCTTAAAATAATTAAGTTTACATATTTTTTTCAAGATTACTCTACCTTTTTCAGACAGACACACACACACACACACACACACACCATACTAAGAACTATGAATGATTTTAATAAATTATTACTGAATACATTTGCTAGTGTTATCCATAAAAGTGATCCATGCATCTTTGGTAAACCAATATATTTAATTATTTTTAAAGTCTGTATCACAACAGGTACATGAAGAAACTCTACAATCAAGGTTAAAGTGGAGACCCATTCAGAATGGAAAAGGGGGAAGGGGGGGAAGTGTCTTCCTTTTTGTCCAGTTTATGTAAGCTGGTCATAATGTATAAGGGAGGAGGTTGCAATCCATGAAAACAAACTGGTCTGAGCTGCTTCACAGCAGAAATTTTGACAACTCTCTTCATCACTTATAAAGAACACATACTAACTGCCCTTTATGCTTCAGCAGCACAGTCAGATGCCTTGAGTTAAGCAGTGCAAGTACTTCCAAATACTTACTTAAGCAAAAGAAACAGAACTGAGAAGGACGACTGGCTATCTAGCTTTCTATATAAAACCAGTTAAGTATCATTATAGCCACCATAATTACAATTAATTGTTTTTTCATATACACTTTACACACACACATTTTCAGTAAGTCAGCTATACTAAAAGCTTGAAGAGGCTGTGCTACACCATAAAAAAATCCCTCACAATAAAAAGCAAGTCTGAACTCTAATACTTAAGTAGCTGCCCTTGGCTAAAACTAATTGACAGATTCACTTCCATTAACTCAGAAAAATCCACTCTGTTACAAAAATATAACTTTGTGTAGTATGAACATAGCCTAGCATTACAATGTTCTTCAGAACAATAGAGTACAACCTCCAACTCACCCTCGTAGCTGGTCTACTTCCAGTAGTTTGGCAGTAAGTTGTTAGCTTTGTAGAGCAGATACAATTTGAAACAGAAGGAAGCTATTACAACATAAAACTGGCAAAGCTTATTTATTACTTTCATAAGCTTGTTTTCACTTGCTAAAACAAAACAAAACTAACACCTGAAAGAACTAGCAGTCGTATATGAAAGATGTTTTTAGCTCCAATACATAGCCTTTATTCTGCAGTCTGTGGCGTACTTCAGTTTCTCTACTCCCTCTTAGTTCCTGATGACACCAGAACTTCCTCTCTTTGGCACTTTGCTGACTCCTTCCACAACCTGACACTGACAGTCCTCTCATTAATCCCATCTTTACAGTGCTTCTGAAACTACATGCGAGGTTGCCATTCAGCCCCAATAGGCCAAATGCCAAAAAGCATTTCCTCAGCAAGGACAAGACAAGAAGTACTACTGACTGTAGATTAAATTTAATTTGTTTTATCTGAAAGCACAAAAGTTTAAAAGGAAAAGAAAAAAAAAATCAGATATGGAGTAATCTCCATAACTAGAATTATTTATTATTTATTAAATTCCTCAGAAAAATCGATGATGCATGCAATATTTTGAGAAATCAGTTGACCTTGCAATGTTTTCATTGAGGTATCTACTTTGAAATTAATTTCACTTTCATGCTGGAACTGTTAATACTGATCAGTAACACAGAAACACTTCCCTATGGCTCAGAATGCCTTCTTGTCTTAAAATAATTAAGTTTACATATTTTTTTCAAGATTACTCTACCTTTTTCAGACAGACACACACACACACACACACACACACACTCCCCGCCGAAGTTACAGCGCAGCAAAACCAAGAACAGATCTCAGGACTCAGAGTCCTATACTCTTATCAGCAAACACATCCTTCCCTTAGAATAAATGTCTTTGTATAACTTTGAATGCACTATTATATTATTTAATGTAATTTACTTACCATATAATGAGCTCAGAAAAGTGTCATCAATTGTATTTATGAGGAAAGCCTTTACTATTCTTTTGAAGTGTATATAATGATCACAGCGAGATACTGTGAAGAAAGCAATATAATTTAAAAAAAAAAAGAGATGTAAGCAATGTTAAAAATCCTGCAAGAATTATTTTTTCCCATTATTGTAAATTTAGAATTTTAAAGTAATTTAAATATGGATTTAAAAATAATTTCAATATACAACATCCCCACCCGTTAGACCCTGCCTTTAAATAGTGCTTTGCATCCCAATGATCTGAATTAATTTTAGCATCCTAAAGTCACATGTCCTTTCAGCAAGAAGAGCCCACAGTAAGAGTTACAAACATTAAAAGAAGCGAATCATTTTTTCTGTGAATAGCAGGAAATAATGCAAACCAGAGAAGGGCAGGCTTATGGGGGTTTTTTGTTTGTTTGTTTTTTCTTTTTCCTAACTTTCTATCAAATACACACAATTCTGCTCAGGTCTCTACTGGGAAGAAATACCACAAATGGTTGTGACCACCTACACTAGCAGCAACTGTCCAGTCAGTACATACCTGCTTCTGAACAACAAAATATGTAAGAAGAGAACTAGCACAAAGTTCTGTTTCAAATCTCTCTGCTCCATCCAGATACCAATTTTTATGTAAGATCAACTTTAAAAGTTTTCTTGCTCTGTGCAGTTTGGCTGAAACTGACCAATGAATTCAGAAATAGCCCTATAGCCCTGTGCACCAAAGTATCACTGCCATAGAATAAAAATACAGAAAAAAAAAAAAAAAAAAAAAATCCCAAGCCCCCAAACCCCCAAACTCATGGCAAGAATTTTACATCACTCTCTAGAACAGAATTTGGCCAGAATTAACATTGCTGCTCTTAGTATATATCACAAGATGGAGGATGATGCTTTTAGGTCTCCACAGGAATGACTGCATCATAGGTAGCCTACTTCATCCAAAATCAGACCAACTTAAAAAATCTGCACGACAGAGTTTCCCTTCCTTCTCCCCAAATTATATGCTCCCTTTAATAAGATACAGAAAGACTGTGTAAGTTTACTGTGGAACTCAGCGTACTTCCACAATAAATTGAAGCCTTTTAGGAATCTGCTTTTAAACTATTATATCCTATTACACAGTATATGTATTTACAGTCCATTAATATTTATTACAGCACTACAAGCAAGTTACACATATACAATTGTCAATAATTTTGATCTTACAGTGTGGGACGTAGTATGCCAGCAACTCGCTATTTAATATATTTAGGTCCTTCTGTTGTGTCTGGTTTTCCCTCTCTGTGTGCTCTGTGTTGTCATCATCATCTTCTTCCTCTTCCTCTACTACAAAATCTTTTATGCTGTCACTGTCGGTTTCGCTGCCTTCTGTTGGTGTGAGGGGCAAGTGACAGAGTGGTTCCTCTTCTATTTCTGCTTCACCATCAGAATCCTAATTAAGTTTAAAAAAGTATTTCAAACACAAGAATTTTCAGTATTTGCACTGACAAAATACTACAGATACTGGATAAACTTCTGACCTTCTAGTAACACTATTTGTTCAATTAACAAAGAATAGTATGTTTCCAAAAAATACATCATTTTGTACCAGGTGACAATTACTTCCAGCTTTAAATCAGCCATCTCCACGTGCCTCTCTTCAGTCTATTTGCAGGAATTAAGCTAATATGAGATCTCTAAGTTACTTCAGCAGGTATTTTGCTTCTTGATAAAAACAATTTGATAGTCCTCTCATGCATCTCTTCTTTACAGGAAAAAAAGGAATGATAAAGAAGTTTTTCCTTTCTGACTATGTAGAGAAGATAGATACCTGCGTTCTAAGCTGCTTAGTCATCAGAACGCCTGAAAGAGCAAATGAAAGGAAATTCTTAAATCCTCAGTGATAAAAATTAAACTCAAGATAAAGGTTTTCAGCAGTCAATATTGCTATCTAGTTAATGTGACAACTGTTAAAATGTGACAGAACTACTGATTTGTCATGAATAAAAACCAAAATAAAATACATAAAAATCCCACTGATTTACATCTATTAGTCTTCGCCTTCCCCTACTTCCCCAGTATTTTCTCCAACTGAATTTCAAAGATAAAATCCAGACCTCACAATTTTCACTGCTGCAGGATGTCCGAGTTGCTCTTTGTCTTGCAAGTTCTTTCAATTTTGCAAACACCTTCTGTTTCCTATCAGTAGAAACATTTTCCATAGGGCTGGTTTTATCACGTTGCTGTTCTTCAGAACTCTCATCTTCATCAATTATACAGTGGCGTTTAGCAAAAACTTTTCTAACAAGTATATCACTGCCCTCACTTTCATCACTGTCATACAAGACAGAGGTGTTCAACCTTTTACGCTTCCCAGGCACGATACACTCATCCTCACCATCTTCTGTTACTTCCCCATCGTGGCTTTTCTCTTCCCGATCTGAAAGGCTGTTCTTCACAACGGTTTCGTCTTTTCCATCTACTTCATCTTCTGATGTAGTAGGCTCTTCCTCCTCAGAGGTACATGAGGATTCGTCATTGCTGTCAAGTAGTATGAGCTCCCTTTTAGTGCGTCTCCAGTCAACTCGGGATTTGGATGATGACAGTTCGGTTCCTGCGGTCTTATTTCTTGTTTCGTATCTTCTGACAACTGCTTTTATCTCCATTGGAAGGCTGCGACAACACACCAAAGTATAAACCGGTAAAACAAAGCACTTACTACATTATGCCATTCAAAAAAAAAAGTACAGGGGCATGCATCTTTTGTTACATACATTTATGACTTAACAGTATCATTATTAAGAGACATGCACAGAAATCGGCACCAAACAAAACTAAGTATGCACAACAACTTCTGAAGAGGATATACCTGACTCAAAAACTGAAGAGCAGAACTGCCCACTCCCAGCATGAGTGAACTGGAAAAATCAGGCCTGAAGCGCAGCTGCAGATCCCATCATGCCCTCCAACACCGGAAGCCTACAGCTGAGGCAGAGAGCTTCCCTGCTCCCGGGGAGCAGCGTACCTCGCTCGTTCAGGGCCATCATCATCATCAGGCCT